CGGGTGCCCCACGACCAAGTGCCGTTACACAAATTGAAATCGATCGCATTCGTTGAGGAGAACAGGTCTTGGCATCTCTTTTGGATGAAACCCAAAGAATTCGAAAAGGTTCGAGACGAACACGTGCATATGACTAGAAAACGATTGCATCTTCGATGAGCTCACCGCAATACCAAAACCTTATTACCTCTATAATTAGCCAATGATGGGGGTGGCTCAGAGAGCTCATTGTTGCTATTGGCAATGGCATTGGGGCGGTGTGATTAATTGATTGACTGATTGTTCATATTTTTTGGGAATAAGCATGGATGATTTCATTAGGGAGCGGTCCTTAACATTATATTAATAGTATATCCCTTTTAATGATAGTGAATTAAGAAGCCATAATGGAATAATTTGTATTCTATTCGGACACACAAAATCTAAATATATATTGATGATATAAAAGAAATTCTGATAGCTGCGAATATGTCATGGGTGGCATACAATACATGTAAACAGCCAATAATAAGAGTGGAGATATCATATTTAAGAACGAGACTTTCTAGATTGAATACCAATTAAATGAATAAAACTGCTTACAATAGAGATGTCTATGGAAACATTCAATGAAGTTATCCCTAAAATAATCTATTATTAATTTCATACAACACGATAAATGGCCTACAAAGACTTTTCTAATATCATATCCTTAGTCGCCTATCCTCATAAGCCATTTTCAAAACATTTCTTTTTATGAAATCCCATTATCCATAACCTCCTTATGAACACCCCCTCCACCTGGGTGGCAATCAAAGTTGTTCAATAAAAATAATTTTTAATGGCGCCTGGCAATCCTGGATCTATTGACATTCAAGCTGCTGTTGTTGTTGTTGTCGACTCGACCAAGATTCAGATTCAATTCTGATTTGAATTCCAAGAGAGGCTTCTGGGTCTCTCTATTCTTCCACCTCTCCCACTCTCTCTCTCTGAGCGTTACTTACTTGCTTTGTTGTTGCCTTGCGTTTCAGTAAACCGTTCTGCCAGCGTGTGAGTTTGTGTTTTATGTTTTTTGAGCTCTTTCTTCTGCCGTCTTTCTCCTTGCCTCCTTCTCTCTTTCTTCTCTCGGTTTCTTTTGGCGTCACTTCGTCACTTCGGCACACAGAACATTAGAAGAAGAAGAAGAATTCTGCTACATTTCATCCGCAGTGTCTTCTGCCGCTCTCTTCTCTCTACTCCCCTCCTTTTCTCGCTGCTTCGTTGTTTGTGATTCTTTTTCTTTTCTACGCTGACTGGGTTGTTGCGTTGTTTTTTTGTCAAAAAGTGTCGACGCTTTTGAATTTCGGTTAACAGAATTAGAACAAATAATTGCACGGCACTTGCGAGTTGGGTAACGAAAAAAAAAACAAAACTTAATTTGACCGCTTATTGTGTGTATGTGTGTAGTTGGGGTTGTAATCCGTGGCACGCCGCGCACCAAAAAAAAATGCACAACAAACTCCTCCGGCAGTCAAACAGCAACTGAAATGGCCGAAACCACTGGAAATCCAATGGAGCAACGGTCAGCGCAGATCACTTGTTGCTGATGGGGAGAGAGAGAGAGAGAGAGAGAGCATAGGGTTGTCAAAAGCATAAAAATATCAGTAAATCCTAACATTAAATCCCTATGAAAATGGTATACCATTGTTGTAGAATCCCTATTTAAAATAACTCAAGACAGTGGATGTTAAAAAACACAAGGCTTCTACAAAAAATATATGTCTTAATAAAGTTTTTATGCATCAATAAATATATGCCACGACAATTAACAATCAAGATTTCTACAGATAATTCCTATTGTTTAATTTTTTAGTTTTTGAATAAACAACAAACATTAAAAACTACCTATGACTGCACAAAAAAATAAATGTAAAATAAATAGCAATATTATAGAACAAAAGCCCATAATATATAATATTTTTTGGCTATTTGACAACTCTACTTGAGAGAGAGCTCAAAACCTGGCCAAGAGCCGCGCTTGGGGCTGAAACAGGTTTACCCATCTCACGCGCGTTTATTTTGTAATTGCCGGCAGTGTGACCAATTTGAAAGCTATACCAAAAATACTAAACATTTTTAAAATCATTTAAAAAATAATTTTGCTACATATATTGGGTTTTAACTAACTTTTCCTATCATTTCTTTACGAGTATATTCAAAGAAACCAACTTTAATAAATTTAATAACTAATAAGTTTCTATGTTAAATTTTAAAAAATAGTTGACTATTAACTATTTTTAAAACTATATAGTGAATAAGCAAGTGAATGAATTTTTGAAACGTTTATATTTATAGACACATTATTACAAAGGATTTGCTTTCTGGTTTAATTATTTAAAATAGAAAATGGCAAGCTGATTTCTCTGAAACTCTAAAGCTCTCAAGCTAAGCCAAACTCTAAACTCCAAGCAGTGCAACGAACTGCTTGATAAAGCCCGCGCATTTGAATTCGATATATTTGTAAAACAAATTTTAAGACTTATTTTCATACTAACTTAAAATTTTTTGAGTCTTAAGTTATCTATGATGAAATGTTTAGTTAAAACAGAGATTTTTAGATTTTACACATTTACTTTATTTATTAAGGCGACAGAAAAAAAATTGCTACGATGACTACGGGAGGAGCGAGTGGTGATCGCTTCCTTAAATCTCGGGATAGGCGCTGCCAATTAGGTTCTTTCCCCGGTAGCGCCACGAATAGGTGACAATGCCAAACTTGCTATTGCCCAGGGATACCGGACAGGTGCGATCCGGTCGCAGTTGGAAGCAGACCGTGTACAGGGCGAGCTCCAGTTCCGGAGAGGTGCCCACAAAGACCGTGTTCACCGGCTTGTTGAGTCCCTGGTGCGCGAACCGAATCTTAAGGATTTTTCCCTTCTGCAAATGGAAAAGATAAGCGATTAATTTTGATACCTATTAAGAAAGGTTGCTCCTGAAAACTAGAGTAATAGATGGGATATTTCTATATGTTGGATTTTCCCGCTTTAAACCCATATATTTAAATCCCTAGAGATTAATTGGAGATCCCTCTTCTAAGACCACTCACCGTGCCAATGTCCTGCTCTTTCAGGTATCCCTTGTAGTCGAACCGGCCGTCCTTCTCCTCATCACCAATGTATACCCAATTGTGGAACCCAATGATGGTGCCCTCCTTTACTTCGTAGACGAAGACGTGCTCGAAGCCGGAGCTACCGATCTTGCCCTTGCCGCGGGAGTACTGTGTGAACCAGAGCTCCTTGACCAGATCGCGGTGCGTCTTCGGATCGGGACCGACCACACCCTTCTGCTGCAGGAACAGCATGGCCTGGCGCATCACTGGGGTGGCCATCACCGCATCCAGGAACTCGTTCTCCTCCTTGCGCTCGTTGGGCGTCACGTGCTCGTTGACCTGGGTGTCGTGCTCGTAATTGTTGAACAACAGTCGCATCTTGGCGATCGTCGGGGACTCCAGGGCCTTCGGGTCCACATTTAGGAGTCTTTGAGAGAAGATTAATTTAATAAATTGGAAGTTTAGTTTATACATTTTAAGATAAAAACTTTTTTTAAATAATATTTTTTAGCTAAAAAGCTCTAAAAAATATGATAAATATGATTTAAGATGTAAAAATCAGACTACTTATGTATATTCTCATATAACTAAAAAATAATATGAATTTTGAAATTTAACTACGGATTACTTACGGATTGGGAGCCTCATCGGCGCTATCGATGGATCGCGTGCGTCCCTGCAGGTTCACCTGGATGTTTCCGAGCTGGTTGTTGGTCTCCTTGGTGTACAACTGCTCCGTCAACTGGCGGATCTCGTCGTCGGTGGCCACCGAGTTGCCCGACGACTGGAAGCCGGGTCGCACAGTGGTTGTGCTGGCCTCGACCTTGTGTGGTCCCAAGGACACTCCATGGGCGGGTGTGGGCGGAACGGAGGGCGTGTGCGCGGATGAGGATGAGGGTGTGGGCACTGGTGTGGTCTTGGTGGGTGGATGTACTGGATGCTGGGGCGTTGGCAGCGGCGATTGCCAGGCCGATGGAGATCCCGGCGTGGGTGTGGGCGAACCTGGTGGTGTCTTGGCCGCCGGCAGAGCTGGGAAGTCCTCCTTTTGGGATGGCCTTCGTGGTCCCGGCAACGCTGGGAACTCATCCTTCTGGTGCGGTGCCTTACCTGTGGTGCTCGTGATGGGCTTATGGGTTGTGCTCGTAGTTGTGGGGGAGGTGGTGCTAATGCCCAATCCAAAGCCAGGACGTCCTGTTCCTGCTCCCGGTGCTGGACCACCACCATAGCTCAGGTCATAGCTGTTCGGCTGGGGTTTCTGTGGTCTGTAGGGAGCAAAACCAGGTGGCAGACTGGGTGCTGCAGTGCCTCCCTGCAGCGGACGACCTTGAATGGGCTGCTGAGGTGGTTGCTGTGGTGGCTGCTGAGGTGGCTGCTGAGGTGGCTGTGGTGATCTTGTGCTGGTCGTTGGCCACTGGGGACCACTGGCCGGTGGTGGAGAGGCGCCAAAGGGCGAGGATCCCGGGGTGTCCGGTCGCGGACCCAATGGCACCAGTGGAGCATGCGAGATGACCAGTGGAGTGGGTTTATGGGCCGCCGTGGGTGTTACTACCACTGATTTTGCACTGGTGGCAGCTGGAGGAGCAATGGTGGTCGTAGTGGTGGTGGAATCGCTGCCAAAGAACTTCTTGAAGCCACCGAACCAACTGGATTTCTTGGTTGTCGTCTCCACAGCGTCTAGGGGATCCGGAGTGATTTGCACCTCGTTTTTGTAGGCAACTGATGGTGGATGAGTTGGGATTATATGCCTGTAAACCAAGTGAATCATTTGCCATTTCACCTACCTGACTGATGAAAGTGCCCCGCAAGAGCCAGGTACAAAAACAGTGCGCTCAATGCCAGGCAGCGCATTTTGCTCGTTATATTAGCACTTTGCCTTGGTTTACTACGATTATTTTCGATTTCTTTGATTATTTTTCACAGTTCGTAGACAACTCGACCGACCGAACGGAGACTCAGCAATCGACTGACTGGCTGAGAGACTCCAGCTCGGCATCCGCCTGATCTTGGCGATCGCAGCTGATGTTGCTGCTGTCGCCGGTGTTGCTGTTGTAGCTGTTGCTGTTCCTGCTGTCGTCCGATTTGTGGTTGTTGTTGGTTTTATTAATGAGCTTACGCCGCAATCGTCGGCGGCGTGGGTTTTGCCTCTTCACAGGTACCCTTCCGCATTTAGAGCAGGCCGTTTTAGTTTCGAAAACACTACCATTCATTTTTTAGAAAAATGTCTATAGTCGTTTTTTTTATTAGGCCTTAAGCCAGGTTTTGATACGCAAAGTATAACAATTTCTTTAAAAAATTTGAAAAACTTCCCCAAAATATAATTCTTTGTTAGCTCTTTATAAATAAATAAATAAATAAATAATTCTTTAACGAATAATCACAGTTAAGCCTTAATAATAGTATTTTATGAGAGAAAACAATATGTGTAGTTTCTGGAATGCCACAGAGTTATCTAAAGATGTCCTATCTAAAGATTGGCTTAATTCTTTGAATTTTGTATTAAGTTTTTCAGATGTTTCCGAATTTTTTTGGTAGAAAACTTTTATAAAGATCTGCTCAATGCTAAATATCACACCATTACCAATAATGTCTCAGTTGAATTGTAAACCTTTAATGTTAAACCACTTAAAATACGTTTTTATTATTGTTAAAACGCCATTATATCATTATATTACTCTTAAACTCGAAGAAATCGTTCGATTTTATAGCTGTACATATATTTACAATGTGCATATATATTTTATAATATTTTCATTTGAACCATAAAACACGACATTCGTTAGAGCCGAACTACCTGGAACAGCGCTGAACTTGCCAGTGGATTCTGGAGCGACCTGCTTCAAGGGTTGATCGAGGGTTATGGTCCATAATTACCTGAGCAGAACACTAATTGTCAAACAAAAAACCCGACTACTGCAGACAAAAATAGCCCCAAAACATCCAAACAAATGAGGGGGTAGTCCGAAATTTTATTTGCCTTCGGAAGTGGCTCACGTAAGCGATTAAAGCGAATTAAGCTTACATAATGCCTTGGAGCTCGGCTCTCTGATTCCAGTATTGTTCTGTTCTGTTCTGATCTGATCCGTTTCCTCCCTTCGCAAGACGACTCGACTCGATCCCAAATCCACTCCCCCTGCCCATTCAACTAAGCACTAATTAATTGCACTCGCGAAGGAGGGAGCGGTGCGGACTTAGCTGGCATTTCATTCTAATAAATAATAATGAAACTGAAAACTCAGTGCTCAAATCTGGGGCTTATCGCCCCAGGGAAAGGCCACTGGCAAAGGTTATGTTTTTGTGTGCTCCATTTGAGCAAACAGCGATAGTGGGTTCAAAAAGCTCTCCAAGGCACATTCGAAAAACTTGAACGCTGAGAAGATAACCAACCTATACGTGATCCCTTGAAAATTCCAGCAATGCAATTGAATTAGAACTTGGTATGATTAATGCGGTTTTAAAGTAAAGGAAAATGAAACTAAATGTTAAGATACACCATTTTGACTGTAGGGTATTTTTTTAGAGGACTGTTTTTTATTTATTTTTAATTGAAAATATTTGAATGCGGTTCTGTTTTCCCGTAACAAAACTAATTTACTACTGCTTTCCTATTCTAAGTTCAGCAATGAAGAACAATGAGCAATGAAGTATATATTTTTTATATGACTAGAATATAATTACGCTACTGTAATTTTTCTAAGAAGTTTGTTATGTAGATAAGATGATCAAGTATTTCTCATGATTAAGTAAAGTTAAAACCAAAAATTAATTTAAATATCATACGGCAACTTTGTTAGTTTTATATTATTTGAGTTTTATGTTCAATAAAATCTAAATCTAAAAAGTAAAGTCTCTAATTAATTTTGTAAGCCGACTTTTAAAAATCAATTCAATTTTTTTTTTGTCTTCATTTTGTTTTGGTTAAGGGAGAATGCGGAAGATATTCCCTATTATTCTCGCTAAACTTTTAAAAAGGAAGAACTTTTATAAAGGTTTCTTTTTATTTCTTTGATACCATTAACTCAGTAAACAATATAATACGAAATAATTGAATTGCATTTGTCATCGATCAAGTAAAAACGAGGGAGAAGGAAAGTGAAAGGTTTCTAGAATTTGTTCGGCCTACTTTTAGGCTGATGAAAAGTTACATTTCCTCGCAGAAGATCCTAAGTATCTTTGCAACGAATTTAAATAAATGTGCCACGAGTAGCATTTTATCTTTTTTAATTACATTTTATATTATTATTATATTATAGGAATAAACACAATATATGTCATAACAAAGACTATACAAGTAATTTTATTACACAAACAGTAAAACAGTGGGTAGAAAAAGTAAGGCATAGCCAAAGACTTCTCAAATAGATCCCTTGCCGATTGTCAGACACTCTTGTTGATCAGCTTCTTGCGAATGGTCTCATCTAGCGGTGGAATCGCCTCGCGGGGAATCAAGAAGGTGGACAGGTTAAACAGATCCAGAAATACCTTATAGCGATCACTGAAACAAGAACAAAAGGGAAAAGGGGTGGGTTAGAGGTCAGTGATCTTTGAGCAGACAGATCTGTGATGATCACCTGAGAGTAGAGCGCAGATATTGATAGCCGGACGATCCACCAGTTCCCAGCTGCTGGGATCCAATCATGCGTTGCACCATGATCACGTGATTATCTGTGGCGGGAGTAGAAAGTAGTTATGGGTTATATTAGATTTAAATACATATATTTTTAAGCCTAAAAATAAAGCTTTAGTTAAGAACTAATTTTAATTAAATTGCCAGAACTAAAACTTTGCTATCATCCTTAAGGAGTGTACTGACTTAAAATATAATAATAACAATATAAAATTAGAATCTTCTATACTTATAGATTAAGAAAGATGCATCCAAATGTGTTAAAATAGGTTCCTAAAACAATACTATATATTACTCACATCTCCACTTGGTGATCAGCGAATCGATGTCCATCAGCAGTGTGAGCAGTTGGTGGGGCTGGCTGAACCTTGGTTCATCCCGGTAGAAGGTGATCATAATGGCGCCCTGGAGAGCTCGATGGCTAAACCTGCGATCACCGCGCCGCACCAGGGCATCGTGGACCGCCGGATCGAAGATGGAGCGGTACACCTCGCGCCGCTTCTCGATGTCCATGAGGCGATAGTTCTTGGCCTTCTCCACAGGCTCCAGCAGGGCGCTCTGGACCTGGGCCTCCAGGAATCGATCCACGCTCTCCTGGAACTTGGCCCAGAAGTTGAAGCCACTCTCCTCAAGACCCGGCGTCCTTTCCAGCCAGCGCTGCACTAGCTCCAGCAGGGATGGTTCCTTCTCCGAACTACGGATCGCATTCCTTGCCCCATCGTCACTGAAGACATCCGAGTACTTCTGGTTGTACCTCACCCGCTGCTCCGTCAGCACACCCAACTTGTTCTCGATCAGGCGAAACTGCAGCGACTGGAAGCCGGAGGCGGGGGCCAGGTACTTGCGGAAGTCCATGAAGTCCAGCGGTGTCATCGTCTCCAGAATGGGCACCTGGTCCACCAGAAGCTATAAAAGAACACAATATTATTATTATTATATACGAGTATATAAATATTCTAATTGAAACACCAAGTTAACAGATGGGTTATTATGGGACTAAAGGTTCAAAAGGCCCGAAGCTCACCTGAATAATAGGTTGTTAATTTGTATTAGATTATATTTTTACGGCTTATTTATTTAGTAATTTGTATTTGTAGTGGGTAGAGATACATAGATAGAGGATAGTGTATACCTAAAATAAATAAAAACCGAAATGGATGGGATTGTACTCGAAAATATTTTAAATGACTGTAAAACTCTAGGATGTACTACTTGCTTCTAAGAAATTTATGTTTTTATCAGTGTTACTTAAGATTACAGCATATGTTATACATAGAAGATAAAATCCTCACAAATTTTGTTGTTGATTTTTTCTTGGAACATCATTTCCTATTAAAAGAACTCACCTTTAGAATGAGAACCACTCGGTTCAGTCGCTTGACAATCTCCAGGGTCTTGGTCTCGTCGATGACCTCTGCATCCAACATGTCCCGAATGGAGTCGAACTCGAAGATGATCTGCTTGAACCACAGCTCGTAGGCTTTTCGAGGGAATATAGAAAACCCATTGAAAGATTGGTGCTCGGTTTATTAAATACCAATCCGTCTTACCCTGGTGCGTGATAATAAACAGGTGCTCATCGTGTACAGGTCGCTTGTCCTCCTCGGAGAGCATACACTGGGCATCCAGGAGTTTGTCCAGCATCAGGTACTCCCCATAGATTTTACCCACCTCCGTGGTTAGGGGCACCGCTGAATCATCATGGTCGTTTCTGGGGGGGGTGGGATCTTGGTATTGCGAATCGGATTTCTACGGACCGCACGTGGTCGTGCTCACCCGTTTCCTGCGTAGGGACAGCTCATGGTCGCTCCCAATTCGTGGCTGGTCGACCGGCGGACGCTGGCTAACTGAAGCGGTCGCGGACCGGAGATGAGACCCCAGCGAACCGATAGAGAGAGCTCCATATTAGTTCATTCATTTCAGTTCCGACTGATTGCACAGTCGGCGATCTGATCCCAGATAGGCTGTGAATTATCAATTGCTGGAGGTGAAAGTGCGGCGCACACAAATCTCTTGCTCCGAGTACAACTCATTGAGCAGTACCAAAATTCAATCGTAATTATTGGTTTTTCACCAGCTTTTCAACTATTCTATGCAACTTAATCTCAAATCAAGCCAACTACTTTTAACTGTAAACTAAGATTCACATTTTAGTCAAAAATACGATTTTTCTTTCCAGTTTTTCAATCGTAGTTTAGTGAAATCAAGGCGTACTGCTAAAAGACCGACTGTTTTGAGCAGCTTGCTAAATATGCTAACGATCCATATCACTTTAAGGAAAATTAATTTTTTAACCCAATTTCTCATATTTTTATAGGGTAAGCATCGTGTTTTTTTGCAAAAAATGTGAAAAGTTAAATATTTCAAGGTTTGGATGCCAATGGATTGGAAATTAAGCAACGAGTTCAACGAGGTATGACATTCCTCGATCTGACGAATATTTTTGTTATAGCAGCCAAAGAACTACAATTTTTAGGGTTGCAAAATAGGATTTCGATTTTGGTAAAGAGATTCATATTTTAAAAACACAAAGATTACAGCTTTTCTGAGTGTATGTGAAAATAAATAAATAGGTAGTCTAACAAATGGTTTGCTCTTTAGAAATAGGTCAAGGTTGTAGAAAAACAATAAAAATAAAAATAAATTTGATAACTTGGAGCTTGTTATCATTTGATTTCAACCTAAACAGCATTTAGTAAACAAAGGAATGAAAAGTATACAAACCAATTTACTTAAGAACATTGCTGATAATTTAAGCTTTCCCTTCCCAAAAAAGAACATATTAACATTCACTTGCTTATCATTTTTATATTTCTCATATATTTCTGGTTTTCCTTTTTGTTTAAAATTTATTTTTGAGTCATTGGCTCAGTCATATACTTGTTGAAATTTGTTATATACTTGTGCCGTTCGCATCAATTCTCACTTCGATCCATCGCTCACATCATCTTGGTTGTTGTTCATTTTGGTTTTTGTATCTTTTTCTTATTTTGGATTTGTTGTTGTCTGCCCCACATACATATATCGTAGTGTCGGGGCATTAATATCCGATCTTATTTATACTATTTCATACACCTTTTCTGTTGTTGTTCTTTCTTAACTTTCTGCATGTCCAAAATCGCAACTCAAGATCTTAAGGAAATCATTCGAATAGGATACTATCGATGTAAGTGTCTAAATATATGTATATCGGTTTTTAATTATATAATTTTCAACTACTTTTGCATAGAAAAAATCGAGTTACATCTGGAGGAGAACACAAAAGAGTACGGGGGAAATTCATGCGATTTTGAATTTGGGGGCTTTTGCAATGTGCTTGGAAATCGTTCAATGCCATTTATGTATTACATAAACATCTAGTATATATCCATGTATATATGTATGCCTGTATGTATATATATACATATATTTATTTATAATTTATCGCTTTACTCTCGCTCGCTATCTGGCTCTAAATGTATTTATATATTATGCAAATCGCGCTGCGTTTTCTAGTCATTTCTAGTATCGGTATCGGAATCTCTCATTGGAACCGCAAAAAAGAAAAAACCGAACCGAAGAATAAAAAAATTGAATATCGAACACCTAAGACCACGCTTTAGTTATTGTTTATAGTTAATCGTTAATCGCTGTGTAAATGTATGTGTTTTGTTTTTGTTTAAATCTATGACTAAATTGTTTCGTTATGCGCGCTATCTCTGTCACTCTTTTTATTCGTCGGTTGTCTCCGTCTCTGTCTAACTGGCCGACAATCTATCTATCTCGCTCGCACGCTCTCACGGACTTTGCGTTGTCTTCTTCTTGATTTCTTATTTTCTGCTTCCGTTTCCGGTCAGCGGTAATACTCCCTTTAACAGTATTGCACTTCATAATTCGTGTTTGCTTTCAATAGTTTCAATATGTTCGTTATAGACATTAACACAATATCTGAATCGAAATACAATATTCATACTTTATATATGTCAGTATATCATCGTAATGTTTCGCATGCGGGGAGTGTGCATAAATGCACTTACATCTATGCGTATGTTTTTGTGTGTAAATTTATATATCGAAGAGATACGATATTATCTCCAGATCAACATGAGTTTTATGTAACTTCTAACATTTTTCTTATGATTGCACGATTTATATGGTATCTTTATCAACTAGATGGAATGACTGGAAGGTATGGGATGATTGAGAGAGGTTTTGGGATGCAAGCTTTTGGCACTGATGCTCTCACTTCGGGAGAAAGGCGATATGAGATGTTTAGAAATGTCTGGAGATTGGAGAACAACTACCTAAAAGTATGCCATTAAAACTTTACTGCATACTTCTGGGCACCGTTGTCTTGAAATCATCCAGGGCTTCGTTTCAGGAACATCTCAATAGGTCTGGAATGTGGAAGATGTGGAATGCGATGCAGGCTGATCGATCTACAAAATGAAACCCAAACAAACTGTAGCATACAAAACATACATACGTACATTTAGATTTGTTCGCCTATAGATTGTACATACATAATGTTTCAACATGACGGTACATTTCTTAAGCGTAAAAAATTAAAACATTGTTAAAAGTTGTAAATTTATTGTACATAAAGAACAAATAAATTAAATTAAATTAAATTTCATATAAATAAAGCCTAAGCCTAAAAATATTCCTATAATTTTGATACTCATAAAATATATATATATATATATTTGCTTTAATATAATACTCTTTGATTAGAGAGCTTTTGGAGTTAGCAACAAATTGCACTACATTGGAAATATTTTATAATATCAATTCAATTCAATATAATTTAATTATGTATAATTTAGTTTAGCATTCGCGTATGTAGATATATAATAATGTATGTTTTTATATAGATGCGTTTAAAATCAAATGCATTTTCCATTGAGCAAAACTCTGTTTTCTTGGCTAACAGCAAAAAAAAAATTAATAAAAAAAAATAGTATTACATATCTTTGTTTTATGTTTAACTTTGTTAAATATAGTTTTCATAGCTTAATTCATTTCTTCTTGGTTTTTGTTGTGTTTGTTGTTGTTCTTGTTGTTGTTGCATTACTAGCACCCAGCATGTATGTATATGCTCGAAATAAATTCATGTGATTTGGTTGTATTTTGGTTTAGATTTTCATCTCTTCTTCACTACACTTGACTAAATATTAATAACTTTAAAATAAGATCCTCTACGGCAAGGCTCAACTTAAAGATTACTTTTTGGAGTACTGCATAACGTTGAGTGAAACACTTTGGATCGTTCGTAAAACGAGTTGTATACGTTGCAGCAGCAGTCTGAGTTGTGCCGCTGCACCGTTTACAAGAAACTTAAGATAGATGTAGCTCTTTTTAGTGGGGCTGCCACATAAATCACTTAAAAAGTATGCTGTAAAACATGTCTTTCGGACTTCGAATACACTTTGGCATACTTTTTGACCATAAGTGATTTCTGTGACCATGACATATTCGAGTATTTGTGACACAAAGATACAGACAACACGGATACGGATAATGATAATGATACTGATGCGGAAACAGATACACTTGCTAAACGAAAGATCGAACTGAATCAAAAACGCTCGCTAGGGTCAACTGAGGGGAAACTCAAATCAGCGGATGGGACTCATGGGAACTCGAGGACTCAAACTCGGAAATGGGCGGGGCGGGCGCTCATCTGCCGCCCATACCGCCGCTCCCCAAATGCACTGAAGTCGCTGACATTTCGACAAGTTGACACTGGCGGCGCTCGACAATGACCGCCGCTGGCAGCGACTATTCGAGCGCGGGTCATACGTTCATCGCATAGTACACGGATCCCTGAGCCTGGGCGCCCACGCCCACTCCTCCGGCGGCCTGTTGCTGCTGATGTTGCTGTTGTTGCTGTTGCTGCTGTACCGCTGCTGCTGCCGCCGACGTCGGCGACACCATGGCATTGCAATCGCTGTGCGATACGGCGGCCGCTCCTTCCGGCACTCCGCGCTCACTGAATCCTGGCATTCCGCCCTCGGGTCCAAATTGATAGTGTCCCTGCATCAGGCGCTGCTGTTGCTGCTGTTGTTGCTGTTGCTGCTGCTGCTGTTGCTGGTGTTGCTGCTGGTGCTGGGCGTAGTGGGCGGCATGGCCACGCCCACTGACCACGTGCAACTGCATGCCGGGCAGGGCGTAGCCAATGGGCACACGAATCGTCTGCTGGGTAACCTGGATTAGAACGGTAGTAGAGTTAATGAAAATGACACACTGGTATTTAATCTTTAATAATTACAGATAAATTAAGATTTTTATATAATTAAATATTTTTCAAATTGAAATAAAATAAAAAAGGAGGAAGAATACTATAAACGAGAGACCAACTAATCCACCTTAAAACGCGAATTCTTCAGTATAAATTAAAGACCCTTTTTCTAACCACTCACTTCCTAATCTTACAGTTTTTACAGTTTTATTGACGTTCTTAAATAAATAACTAAATAAATGCGTTTTTATATCCAAATCAATAATATTGAAGAAGAAAAAACTATAGACGGAAACCTTACCAAACAATCGCAAAACGCGGATTCTTCAGTATAAATAAAGTCGCAATTTTCTGACCACTCTCTTCCTAATCTTTGAAATTGTACAGGTATATTAACGTTTTTGAAAAAATAATTACTATAAAAATTAATACAATTAAAGAAAATATAAAGACTATGGAAGAGAACCCAACTAAACAATCTAAAAACGCGAATTCTCCAGCATAACTAAATACAAAAATATAAATCTTTTACAGGAATATTAAAGGTTTTAAAAAATAACTACGTTTTAAAATCAAAGTCAATAAAATTGAAAAAAAAAAAATGTAGACGAGAAGCAAATGAAACAATAAACAAACGCGAATTCTTCAGCATTCTGTAAAACAGGTATACCTACTTTCTGACCACTCACC